AAAAACCGAAATAAAGCATACATGCACAGTTTCGGTTGAAACCGAAATAATGTCTAAATGCACAGTTTCCATATGCGCAATTTCGGTGCCCCACGCGGCTTACCATCTAGCGGTAGGTTTCGGAAAGGTGAAAAAACATATATTTAATACTTGCGCCGGGTATTTAATGTTCGGCTCCAGCCGAACTTAGACTTTCTTACTTGTTTTTCTAAAAGTCTAATTTCACGAAAATATAAAATCAAGGAAATCATTGAAACCCCTGAAGCAATAAATAGGCATTGGTTATTATCTTATTTTTAGTGTTTTTGTATAAAAAAAACTTTGTGACTTTCCGGAAATATTAAGCCTTACTCGTTAATATTAAATACCTTTTTATTGGTTGGGCCAGTTTTTACTGCACCAAAAATCTGGAAAAATTTCGTCCGTGGACTTGGATGCGTAACGTTATATGTACTTATACATATGCATAGTTTAGAAAGGCCATGAAAACCCTAAGTTTCCATTACAATCAATAATTCAAGTTAATCAACAAAACCATACAAGTATGTTTATTAAGTGCGAGTAACACAAAGAAACAGTTGCTTATATTATAGCAACAACTTTTTGATGATTTTAAAAAGTCTTTCGTTTTTAATAAACACCTCGCATTTACCTGTATAAAGTAGGAAAAAGATGACTGCATTTTTATCCACAAGTCGTATTTCTACATAATTTGTCGTAATGCTGTATTTTGAAAAAATTTTAACAAAAAAGTACAATTGTACCATTAATTTCATCACTGATGCCACAGCGTAACAAAGTGAACTCAAAATCATTCAAACGTAATTGGCACACTAACACAATCAAACTTTCAGCTCGCATGTACTTGTGGTAGTGATCACATCTGCTCATATAAACTCCTCGTCATTTGAATTGCACACCCTTTCAATTCTTAGTATTAACAGTTTTCCTTTTGTTTATTTAATATACATTTTTTGTAAAAACATAGCATATTCTACGGGTAAATGCAATTTTAAAATTTTTTACAAATTAAAACTTAAAAGAATTTCTTTCCTTGGGCAGCATTTTATGTGATTTTTGCGTTTTCTTGAGAACTGGAAACAGTTCTTTAAAAAGGTCAACATGGGAGTGTGCCATCCTAATGGCCTGCAGTGTATAAGTTAGTAATATTTTTAGAAAAATTTCGGATATGCAGTTATGTAGCCCACTCAATTATAATGTAATAAAGTGCAAGCTTCAAGTGACTGTAAAATAGCCCTAATTTTTTATTTGTTTTTTATTGACGGTGCTGCGCACTTTATTCCATATACAAATTTTGTCGAGCATACTTTGTACGAGAGAAAATGCGCAGCACCATCACAAAAAAAAATTTAAAAAATCACCGCTATTTTACAGACACTTGAAACTTGCACTTTATTGTATCCCTTTGTTGACATTTTTTTAACTCTGTATAAAGTTTTAAAATCGGATGAAATGAATATTAAATAAACAAAATAAAAATGTAAATATTAAGGATTAAAAAGTTGAGCTATTCAAATGACGAGGAGTGTATGTGGCGTACGTTTGGGGGAGTGGGCCCTTTTACTCCAGAATGCGTGTGCAGTGGCTCTCATTGGTATACGTGTATTAGTAAGATTCCTTGCCCCCTTCATGTTTGCCCATGATTTTCCCCTGGCCTAGCCCGCGAAATGCGCTGCCCATATCTGGGTTAATCGATTATTTTTGTATCACAATAAAAGTAATATTTAACCTTTATTAATTTATAATTTATTGTGTTTCTGTGAAAATTCGTTCCTGGAATATCTTTAAAATCACAATTTCTCAAACGTTGAGAAAAGAAATTAAAAAATTACAGTTCACTGATGATACAAACACTAAAAGATAATCAATCGATTATCGATTCACAGCAACAAAGTCATCACCAGATACACATCAGCAGCGTCATCACGAGATTCACTTAATGTTTAATTTTTGCTGTAAAATTGAAAACGTATGAAAACTAAAACATAATTGTTATTTTCGTCAAATATTTACTAAATAATTATGAAACTTTATCCACCCATTCATTTCTGTGGGCTTTACTACTATATATGTGAAAATGAAAACCAAAATGACTTCTTCCAAATAACTGATGCTAGATCAGAGATTTATTAGACGTCTTTTTAGTAGCTTTTTGTGAAAAGTTACATTGCCAAACTTACTACTTACCAAGAATTTTAGCAAAAGATTGTTGATTTGGTTAAATAAATAATATATTTCAAAGAAATTTTCATTTATTGTGGAGATAAATCTTAATTCGTTAAATATCAGCATATATTAAAGATGAATATTATTCTTAACCAACATTTTGTTCATAAATAACACATAATTATGTGTATTTTATCCTCGAAAAGAACATTTATAAATAATCATGAGGCGAAATACCCCAAAGTAAGTGTTGTCGTGCGCGCAACCCAAAAGTACCCTCGGGGACCAAATAGTGAAAAACTGCGAAAAGGTTAACTACTGTATATACTGTGCTTCCAAGGTGAAGTGAAAAACTGCAATTGAAGTGACAGCGGCAGCACTGCCTCTACCGCTTATGGTCACGATTGAGAGAATACAAAGGTTGCGCGATCTCGGACAGCTATTCCTCTCTTAACGAATTTGACAGAATCTCAAAAATCCTCTCTGATCGGCGCAATCTTGTATTCTATCATTCTTGGCTTATGGTCTGATTATGGCAACTTAACGTAACTTACGGCTCTCACTTAAAAATTTCGTTAAATGGATGTTGCTTATAATTGAACAGTCGAAACTTAACGTAACTTAAAGCCACGTCGAAAGCTGTTTCATTTTGATTCTCTAAGTTTTACGTTCCGTTAAGTTAAGTTAAGGTGCCATAATCAGGCTTTTAGACTTTGTTGATTTTTCCAAAGTAAAGCTCAATAACACTTTTAAAAGTAAATCGGCCCTATGCTGAATATCGTCATCGTCAGTAAAAGTAATAGCGATTCTACAATAGCGCAGTGGCAGTGGCAGTGACAATTTTTAACACGCAGTAACAGTTCGAAAAACTGCCGCTGCCACTGCCACTGCGCTATTGTAGAATCGCTATAACGATACGGCCATCGTGAGCCATTTTACTAATGCGCTGACGATCGTCGATGATTACGATGACGACATTCAGCATAGAGCAAGAAATGGTTTTTGTTTTAAAACATCGATGTATTTTTTTACTTACATATGTTATCCCCTGTTTAATAGGCACTGATATTCAGAATTTTTGAGTCGCTATGCGCTGTGGTTGAAGACGAACAAAATCTTTTTATTTTTCCAAAAATTTTTAAAAACTAGTATGCATATTCTTTTTCACATCTGTATTGTTAAAAAAAATAATTAATTAATTAATTAACCGATTGTTCAGTATTTTTTAGCCAAACCGTTACGAACGTTTTACATATCATAAATTGTATACAATTAGTATCTATAAATACATATGTACATGTATACATACGCGTATTAGGTAAAAATTTCACAAAATGAAGAAGTATTTATAAATGTGTGTAAAATACCTATAAATATAAATGTTCACTCTCTTGAATCGCGTTTACTTTGCTCTTCATCAATCATTAATTTTCGTTGTTCTTCATCTTTTGCGTGCTCCTCTTCTTTCGTTTCAGTTTTTGTCACAATATTTTGTTTCTCCGGGAAAGGCATTTCCCGAAGTCGTCTTACCATATCCTCCAAACTCTCGCCGGCTGACGTAGGGTTCTGTTTCGTTTCTTTATTTTTAACAGCCTTGGCTCGAAGTGCAGCATTCAGTATTAGTCCGGCAGACTTCACATGAGTTTGCTTTGGTATAGCGCCTTGTGCAGTGGTTTGACTTGGTATTTCCGTAGTCATCACGCGATCTGTCAATTCAGACATAATAGTGGAGCCTGCGGCAGTGTTGAGTGCTGGCAAAAGCGACGCTACTGAATTTTCGTCCATTCCATACGCGCTGTTGGTGTCATCATCACCACTACCATCTGTAGAGATACTCGCGGACGTTGCTTGGCGATGTTTCTCACGACCAGCTATACGATTTATCATTTCAGAGCCGCGCGCGGAGGTGCCTGCCAATCGGTTTAACAAATCTTTACCTTCTTCTTCAAGAATGCGCAGACGTTCCATACGATTTGAAGATATTTTTTCAATATTTTTCAGGCGTTTCTCAATGTTGACAAATGGAACGGAAGCTGTTGACATGTTTTCAGACTGCCAAGTTAAGCAGGCTGCTTCTGCTTTACCCATTTGGTCATGTAACGCTTCCAATTTATTGCCAAGTTGGTGGCCCCGCTCATTGTTGCATGAAAGTCGGCCTAATAGCTCTCTACTCTCGTTCTCCAGACGCTCTAGACGTGCAGATCGGTGCGCCGTATATGTCTCTTCATTAGCTGTCAATGGGTTTGGCTTAGCATCACCTTCTAGTTCTCCCACTGTGTAGGTGCTCCCAATTACAGATTGTTTCCCTTCGATTTGCTCAATCTGTCGTAAAGATTTTTTGAGTACAAATTCTGTAGTTTTACTAGACTTCTCTTCAGTCTTATTCTCAAAGCTACTCTCTCGACTTGGTGCACGACGCAAACGGTCCAAGGAACACCGCAAATAATAATCTCGGTCGCTCGTGCGTTTGATGCGTGACAGCAACTGACGGCTCTCTTCTTCTAACCGTTCTAACCGCTCCGATCTTTTGCGTGTATACTCCTCCTCGCGTGGCGTAAGTGTACCTGTAACAGGTACTGAATTGGCACGAGTCATGCGATCAACACGCTTATTTGTTATACAAATATTTAGCGGCACAGCATATTGTACTGGCGCGATTTCATCCTCAAAGCTACGCAATTGAACCTCCAAGCACTGGCGATTGTCGGAAGTTTCGAGTACTCGTTGCATCAACGATTTACATTGCTCTTCCAGTCTATGTATGCGTTCAGCTCGCGAGTTATCCGAACCGATCACGCCAGTAGTTGGCACTTCTCTCAAAGGTTCTCTTCTACTCTGGTGTACATTGTAAACAGCACCACCTTTAGGTATAGCACCACGATTAGAAGCAGTAATAAGAACCATATCTGCTGCCCCAGGAGCCGCGCCAGCGTACCCATTCGCTCCATTATCACCACCTTCATTGTCATAAAAGTTAGCAGCAGCATCATTGCAACCACCATCATCCCGCCAACCGCAACTCGGTGGGGCACTATTCCAACGTAACACTATCTCAGAAGTGTCATTGTCAGCACGTCCGGGCGAGGTGCTTTGCATGCGCTTTACCTTGCGTGTATGTTCGAACATTTCCCTCAACCGTTTGCGCCTACAGACTGCAGCCGCACCTCCAACTCGCCTTACACAGCCGCCACTGCCATCGTAAGCAGTTGTCTTAATTCCGGATTTTACATTCTCAGCCGCTGCTGCAGCCATTTCATCGTCAGAAGCCTGTCCTGAGTCACTGTAGCCACTCTCAGCTGAATTATTGGCATGCTCCAATTTTCGTAATGCAAATTCACGTCGTAAATCATTGCACTGCTCTTGACTCTCGTCGTTTTTCGCACGTGCTGCTGCCCATTTTCGTCGACAATACTCCAGCTCGTCTTTGAGTTCGCTGAGTAAGCGTCGCTTCTGCTGTAGTTGATAACGCAATATTTGTTCTTGTGTGTGCAATTGGCGATGTTGACGCTGCATTTTTCCAACCAAATGCCAAGTTTTTGTTAACTCTACACTAACGGCACCTAGGCGCTTTTCTTGCTCATTCAGTCGATATTCAAGATGGCAGTTTAAAGTTTTCAACCGATTGGTTTCTTTGACTAGGGATTTCTTCTCCAATATTAGATCCTGTATGTGGTATATGACAAGCATGAAAAGAAAAATGTATTAAAATATGTATGGCAATGAAATATATATAAGAGTTGAAAGATAATCTTCAATAACACTGGTCGACAGCCAAAAAAAAGCAAGAACGGTATTAATTTTTCTAGAGTTTTTTTTTAATGCCAAATGTACTCATCTTTTTTCAGATTGGTTCTTGTTTGAAAAATTTCCGATTGCTAATATTCGGCTAGGGTTCGAGCCCACTTTCCGACCAACGTCAACAAATAAAACATAAAAAGTGTTTTCTAATCGTGGTCACCTCGGCTCCGTCTAGCTAACACCCCATCCAAACATTTGGGGGAAAAACTATATGCAAACGATTGGTCCGGTTTTGTTACTACTTTTCATCGTTTGGTCATTAACCGGCCTCTATTTATCGAATGTTCCAATTATGGGTTGACAATTTGATGTGCTGGCACCCTATTCAAGCATTTGTGAAAAAACTATATGCAACCGATTGGTCACTAATTCTCATCGTTTTGTCATTAGACGCCTTTTTGAAGTGAAACTTCTTTAGCGGCGGTTGGTTGGTTGGGAGTAAATTGGCAAATTCAGCGGAAATTGCACACGGAAATGTTGCAACGGAAATGATGCAACGGAAGTGATGCAACGGAAATGGTGCAACAGAAATGGTTGGGGCTGAAACAAGTGCTTCTTGTGTGTATGCAACGGAAATAATGCAACGGAAATGGTGCAACGGAAGTGGTGCAACAGAACGGTTGGAGCTGAAACAAGTGCTTCTTGTGTGTATGCATATGGTATTAATTTAGCAAAAATTTGCTAATAAAAGGTTAAAGAATAACACTTAGAAAAAGACCTATACAAGAATGAAAGTAAAGGTGACTACGTACATATGTAAATGAAGAAAAGGATAAAGGCAAAGGTAAAAAAAAAACAATAACAAAGATGCGTAAAGATAAAGGCAAAAATGAAGACCAATGTAAATTTAAACACTTTACTTATATATATAAGGGAAAATGTGAAGGGGAATATGTAGCTGAAAAAAATTATGCACATAAAAGTAAAGACAAAGAGGATGATGAGGATACCGATAAAAGCAAAGATGAAGATAGGGGAAGAAAGATTGAAATAGAGGTAATTAAAGAAGAAAGGATATAGAGAGAGACACAGAGACTCAATCTGGGAACTATTTTGGGATCTTAGAGGTTCTCGGGATTCTCGAGACTTATCGATAAAATAATATCGATTTTCTTATCGATAATTATCGATTTTGTTATCGAATTTATCGACTTTGTTAGCCGTATTTATGAATTTTGTTATCGATATTTATCCGATTTTGTTATCGATATTTAACGATTTGGTTATCGATATTTATCGATTTTGTTATCGATATTTATCGATTTTGTTATCGATATTT